CTAGTAATTGTTGTTGTTGTTGTTGTTGTTGTTGTTGTTGTTGAACCTTGATTATTGAGCAATTATTATCGTTGGACACTCTGAATGCGCCTTCGCGCTCTCGCCTCGGCGCCGGCAGCATTTCCTTTGAAAATTAACTTCGCGTTCAGGAATTTCGGGGGTGCGCCAAAACGGGCCCCCCAACGACAGCAACGCTCCGGCTCGAGACGTCCTCCTTTCTCACTCGGGGCGGCGGCTCTTGCTCGCCCCCCAAAACTCCAACAAAATCGGCGCTCCGGCTCGATACTTCCCTGCTGTTCACCCCAGGACCGGCGCTCCCGCCTCGAGACCCCGTGCAGATAACGACGCTCCCGCTCGATACTTCCTCCGCTTTCATCCGGAAATCCTGGGAAGCCCTGAGGCTTCCCTAGTCCTTGTTGAATTATGATTATAAAAAACTGTCATTTTTGGGCCCCCTTTACGCGCTTTCACGCCTGCTCCGCGCGACCTCGCTCTCTTGTGTCGTGGGGCGTGGAGTCGTCGCCGTCGTCGCCGCCGCCGCCGCCGCCGCCGCCGCCGTCGTCGTCGTCGTCGTCGTCGTCGTCGTCGTCGTCGTCGTCGTCGTCGTCGTCGTCGTCGTCGTGCTCTGGAAGCCGTCGGGGGCCGCCTGGTACTCCTGGAGACACCTACGGCCAGGGACACTTTTTGGAGGAGTGCAGGGAGGAGGAGGAGGAGGAGGAGGAGGAGGAGGAGGAGGAGGAGGAGGAGGAGGAGGAGGAGGAGGAGGAGGAGGAGGAGGAGGAGGAAGGGAGGAGGAGGAGGAGGAGGAGGAGGAGGAGGAGGAGGAGGAGGGAGGAGGAGGAGGAGGAGGAGAGGAGGAGGAGGAGGAGGAGGGGGGGAGGAGGAGGAGGAGGAGGAGGAGGAGGAGGATGCGGAGGAGGAGGAGGAAGAAGAGGAGGAGGAGGAGTAGGAGTAGGAGTAGGAGTAGGAGGAGGAGGACGGGGATGACGACGAGCTCTGGCACCATCAGAAATCGGCCGACGCAAAAACGGTCCCTGTGACAAAATCGAAAGCAAAGGGGCCTCAGCTCTGAAGCGTCACTCAGAAGCTCTGGGGTCTCTCCGCGGGGCTCTCCCAGAGGTTGCGAGGCCTCTCCCTGATGTCTTAGGCCGCTCAGGCGTCGCGACACCTAGAAGCAAGGCCTGGACAAAGGAATTGCGCAGGCGATTTGCCATCCGGATTGGAAGCGTTGAAGTCCCTCGGAAGAGGTGTTGTCAAGACCTTTTCGGACGGGATATCAGGGAGAGGGAGTATCGGGACCCCCCGCGTGCAATAACACATCCCTCATGAAAAGGGGTAGCTATCATGTCATGGTGAATGCGTGCTGCATTTTGAAACATCGAGCATTGGGGTAAAATGATTAGTGTTGTTGTTGTTGCTGTTGTTGTTCTTGTTGTTGAAGTATCATTTCAAAGCAATAACTGTTGTTGATCCCCCCTCCGGTGCCAGTTTTTTCTCGAAGTGCCCATCCCAGGGCTCGCACCATGTTTTTTACAAGGTAAAATCCCAACCCCCGAACAACAACAACAGCGGCTCCCGCCTGATAGGTCCTCACAATTCATTCAACATCGCGCTCTCGCGCGGGACTTCCTCATGTACACTTTACTCAAGAATCGCGCTCTCGCGTGGGAGGTCCTCGCAGTTTACTTCCGCAGGCCGCAAGATTTTCCTCTGGAGCCCCACATGTCGGAAGCGACGCGCCGTTCAGGTGAGCGGATACATGTAGCGCTCGCTTCGAGGTGGGGTAGATGTGTTATGGGTGAAGATGCGGGAGTTGGCCGAGCCCGCTGTGGCGTTCGAGCAAACTTATGTTGAGGGAGGACTTTCGGGAGATGGCCAAGCCCGCGGCGGCGCTCGAGCAACCACATGTTATGGGAGAAGTGAAGGGAGGTGGCCGGGCCCGCTGTGGCGTTCGAGCTTCCGACTTGGACACTTTGCTTGTGTGTCCTCGCCCTCCCTTATCCCTTCCTTTCCTCCTCCTCCTCCCAGTTCCCCCTCCTCCTCCCGCCTCCTCCCTCCTCCTCCTTTCTCCTTCGTCCGTCCGCCTCCCTCCTCTCCCCTCCCTCCTCCATCATGCCCCTTCTCCTCCTCCTTCTCCTCTTCCTTCCTCCTCTTCCTTCCTTCTCCCCCCCTCTCTTCCCTGATTGTTCCCCCTCTCTCCCCCCCTGCGTCCCCTCTGTTCTCCTCCCACCTCGTCTTGCCTTTTTCCCTCATCCTTCCCCTCCTCATTCTGGGAAGACCCCCCCTCCCCCGTAGAATCATAGCATTGGTCTGCAGATCCACAGCTCCGTGGATACTGGGGATGTAGCATGATGCTTCACTTGCGGTGCTCCGCGGATCCAATTTCCCCTGGGTCCCGGATATTAATTCTTATATATATATATATATATATATATATTCCTGGGAAATACATGGATCCATCGTTTTTTTCACACAGGAAATTGGATCCGCGCAACACAAAAATAGGATCCACGAAACTCTCCAACACCCGAAAAGGGATCCAATTGGACCCGTTGATGTTTTCATATTTTTAGTCCAAGAGGAAAAAACTTTCGGCCTGGGGATGTATTGAAACGCCGCGCCTTCGACGCTCAGAAATCAGTTTTTCGCTCCGGACTCTCACACGGTTTATTTGGGAATCGCGCCATCGCTCGAGACTCACCCCCCCGCGATTCATGCAGGACTGACGCTTCAGCGACCCGCCCACTCGAACTGGCCGTCTGGGCCTGCCCGGCGGACCCGCCCAGAGGGTCCACCCGCCCGACGCGCCCGTCCGGTTCTGCCGCTTGTTTTCCCGCTCCTGACCTTCTTTCCGCTCATCTCTCTCGCGCTCCATCCTTCTCCCTCCGGAGGCAGCGTGTCTGCTGCGCGCCGGCAGCTTTTTGAGCGGGGCCCGGCAAACCCCCCCCGCCGCTCCTCGAAGAGGGCGGCTCCCCCTGGGGTGGCAGCCTGTCTGAGGCGGCGGCAACTCCCAGGGAGGAAGGGTCTGCTGGCCGAGGCCTCTGACGTCCGTTACATCGGAGCGCCGCGTGCACCGTTGTCCTTTCCCTCCTCCCTCCCTTGCTCTGCTTTGGGAGCCGCGCCAACTACGCGTTGCAGGTAAGGGAGACATAAGACATACTCCCAAGAGGGCACGGTCGAAGACGAAGAGGGCGGGCACCGAGGGTGTAGGATACACATGTAGGTTGACACGTGAGTAGGTAAGAGGGATCAATCTCAAACTGACTGTTGTTGCTGCTGTTGTTGTTGTTGTCCTTGTTTTATATTGTTGTGGTTGTCGTCGTGTTGTAGTTGTAGTTGTTGTTTTCGGTGTTGATGATGATGGTGATGGTGGTCCGCAGAACTGGGCCCAATGATGGTGTAAAGATCCTCTTGGCCGAAGCCAGGAGGGGGCACGTCAGAGTGAGGGGGCCGAGCGGTCTTACACTGTGCGTGCGTGGGTGAAGTAGGGTTCATCGGTGCGGATTGTCGCTGCTGTTGTTCTTCTTGATCTGCTTCTTCTTGCTGTCGTCGCCCGCCCCGCGACCAACCCGCGACCCGTCCTGCGACACACACGCGATCCATCCGCGACCTGTTCGCGACCAACGCGCGACCTACCCATCGTCCCCTGTACGACAGCCGCCCGCATTTTGTGTTGTTGTTGTTGTTATTGTTATTGTTGTCGTTGTTGTTGTTGCTGCTGTTGTTGTTGTTGTTGTTGGTGTTGTTGTTGTTGTTGAACATTATTTATTCTAAAGAATAATTATTGTTGGGGCCCCTGGTGCGCGACCCCCTCGCCGCGCCTAGGCCGCAGCTACATTTTCATCATTTTCGTGAGGAAGCCTCAGGTAATACGATGTCATCAAGATCCGGTTGTTTTGTTCCCCCCCGCTGTCCCTTGCAAAAAACACTATAAAATGAAATTTCTTGTTCTAAAATAACCAAACTTCAAGAATCCCTTGCAAAAAATAAGGTAAAGTGGACATTCGCGCGCGCAAGACGAAATCCTTCCAAAACCTTAGTGTTCGTAACGATTTCAACATAAAAACATCAAAAAACCAATGTTTTTTTTTTTTTTTTTTTTTTTTTTTTTTTTTTTTTTTTTTTTTTTTTTTTTTTTTTTTTTTTTTTTTTTTTTTTTTTTTTTTTTTTTTTTTTTTTTTTTTTTTTTTTTTAAAAAAAAAAAAATGTCACAATTTCATCCCGCGCGCTCTTGCGGATTTGCAGGAAACCCAACACTTTTTAAACATTTCTGTCAAACGGGCTTTTGCGATCAACTTTTTCGAACTTCTGCAACAACGGTTGCGCACCTGCCAGGGCCATCATCCCTGTCAAATAATACCATGCGGGACACATGTCAAATAAGTCATTGAAACCATGCGCCAGTGTAGTAGCCACGGTCGTCCGCATGCCACGAAGTGAAGTGTCCGAACGTCATAGGGCGGGAAGCTGGGTGTGGGTGGTGGCGAAGAGTCGTTTGGAAATGTGGTAGAGCTTGAACCGGCCCCCCCACAAAGTGGGGGTATTGGCGGGCGTCGTATGAAAACCCTGGCACTGGTGAGAACACTGAGCGTTCGGGTAAAATGATTGTTGTTGTTGTTGTTGTTGTTGTTGTTGTTGTTGTTGTTGTTGTTTTGTTTTGTTGTGTGGGTGGGTGGGTGGGGGGCTTCTTCACACCTTCTTTCGACTCTGCCGACCCGCCCTTTATTTGCATTGCAACAAAGCGCAGCGCCTGCTTCGACGGGTCAAAAAAGAGTCGGCACCCTCGGCGGCCTCCTTTACGTTGGCGCTCGCGCCCCGCAGCTCTGGCAAGGCATCCCGGGCGCTCCCTCGCTCTCACGCGCACTCTTGCGGGGCTGCGGTGCACACCGTGCCAGGGTTGGGTCTGGCTTTGGCCAGGCATGGTGGTGGCGGTGTGCAGCATACTTTTGCGTGGACGAAGAGGAGCAGCGGGAGTGTCAGGACGAAAGGGCCGTCGTGGCCTCGCGCTGGAAGTAGTTCGCAGACGCCTGGGCCTCGCCCTCGAGCTCGCTCTGCGGAGAGCTGGCCAGGTGGTCCCCGCCGTACGCCTGGGCTCCCTCGTGGGGCCTGCGCGCAGGGTGGCACAGGGGCTGGGGCGGCCTGGGATTGGATACCCTTCCGTATGCGTTTCCTTCCCCATCCGCCCGCTCCTGCTGCTCCTCCGGGCTCTTTTCCCGCAGTCCTCCTCCTGCTGCTGCTGCTCCTCCTCCTCCTGCTCCTCCTTCTCCTCCTGCTCCTCCTCCTCCTGCTCCTGTTCCTCCTGCTCCTCCTGCTCCTCTTCCTCCTCCTCCTCCTCCTGCTCCTCCTGCTGCTCCTCCTCCTCCTGCTGCTCCTCCTGCTTCTCCTCCTCCTCCTCCTCCTCCTTCTCCTTCGAGCCTCGAGCTTTGGGGCTGGTCTGTGCTGGGGGGGGCACTGGAGCGCCCCCTGGCGCCCCTCTGGGAGCTCGACCACAAGAATCATTCTACAAGAAACCCAACCCTGATATCCCAGGACGTCCATTGATTTTTGGCATGGGAGCGTAATGCTTTCCATCGCAGAACCATCCAAACCCAAGAAGCCCAAGCAGGGGGTTTCTTGGCATGGGTCTCCATTGTAGATGGGGGGGAGGGCCCAGAAATCTGGCGCCTCCACACAAACTGGAGGGGTGGGCTTCTGGCAGCTCTTGGCCTCCAGGGGCTCTCGCCGGGCCTCGGGAGCGTCACACGACGCCTCCAGACGAAGCACCGGCCCCGGGGAACTGGTCCGGACCTCTCTGGGGCCCTCGCGCGGAACAAAAAATGGGAGCAGCGGGATGTCCGGGGAGGGCGCCGCGTGAGCGTGGGCAGGGCAGCCCGAGAGGCGGGCGACCCCGGAGGAGAGGGAGAGCGCGGCGCGGGCGGCACGAGGAGGAGCGAGGCCGTGCCCTCGTGTCCCTCCGTCGATCCCTCTTCGCTTCCCCTGCCCGGCCAGGCCTCCGACGTGGGGCATGCGCGCGGCGTGGGCAGCCAAAGGCCGCTCCTGCAGCAGAGGCATGTCTTGGCGGCTCTGGGGCCCGAAAGGGGCGGGCCTCCACAACCCGAAGAGGCCTCCACGAGCCGAGCACGCGGACGAGCTGGCCGTCGCGTCTCTGCTCGTAACGCGGGAGTCTCCTGCGGCGGGAGCGAGTTCCCAGATATCCATCCTCGATCGTCGATCCGTCTTCTCCTCCCTACCCCCCCGTCCCCCCATATGTTGGGGTGGACCAGCAGGGGGTGGTGGTAGCGAACCAGCTGCACGCAGCTGGTTTTCCAAAATGCAGCAGTTTTGCCTATCGACCCTGGAGAGCCCTCCGATCGACGCAACTTCGTCCAAAGCCGGTCCCCAGACTCCTCCCGGAGCCTACGCTGGTATGGGCAAACGCAGCAAACTCGAACGTCGAACCCCTCTCCCCGCTCTTTTCGTCCGGCTGGCCCCTCCACGCCCTCGTCGAGGGGCCCAGGGAGTCGATCCTCTGCCTCCTCCGCCTCCTCACCCCTCCTCCTCGTCACCCCTCCTCGCCTCTCCTCATCCCTCCTCCTCCTCCGCCTCCTCCGCCTCCTCTGCCTCCACCTCTTCTCCCGGAGCACCCCCCCCTCACCCCCCTCCCTCCCTCCTCGATCGCGTCGATCCTCCCCCCTCGATCGTCGACCCTCCCTCCCTCCCTCCCTCCTCCGCCCCTCCCTCCCTCCCTCCCTCCCTCCCTCCTCGATCCTCGCGCCCTCGACCGTCGATCCTCCTCCTTCGCCCCTGCGCCGCCGCGTGCGCCCCCCTTGCCGGAAAGGGGACCGGGGTCGCGCGGCGCCTCCGGCCAGCGGCGGCGGCGCGGGGCAGCCGGAGGCCGTCGAAAGCGAGGTCCTCGCGGGTGGCTGCGCGGCGCAGCCCAGGCCGGCAAGGGGCAGGGAGGGAGGGGGGAGGACCCTCCCAGGGAGGGAGGGGAGGGGGAGAGGGAGGGAGGGGGGGAGGGAGAGGGAGGGAGGGGGGGGGAGAGGAAGGGGGAAGTGGGGAGGGTGGGGGAGGCGCAGAGGGAGGGGGAGAAGGAGCAGGAGGGGGTCAAGTACGCCAGGTCGAGCGATAGAGCGGGCCCCGCTGGGTCGAACGAAACGGGAGGAGGCGAGGGGAGATGGAGGAAAGGAAGAGGGGGGAGGGAGCGAGGGGGGAATCATGCACTCTGCGAGGCTTGTTGTTGAAGGCGGCGGGCTCGCGGGCAGACAAATTCTGGCTTGCCATGGAGGTCCCCTCCTGGGGTGTCCGTGCCTTTTTGGAAATCTCCGGGGCCGTGGCACGTGAGGGCGTAGGAGGAAACGGGGGAGGGGAGGGAGAGGACGAGAAGGGGGAGAGAGAAAGGAGTAGAGGAATGGAGGGGAGGGAACATGTACGAGGAGACAGGGCGGATAACGAAAGAAGAAACGGAGGAGGAGGAGGAAGAGGAGGAGGAGGAGGAGGAAAAGGAGGAGGAGGAGAAGGTGGAGAAGGAGGAGGAGGACGAGGAGGACGGGCATGGATGAGGGAATGTTACTGTTATTCCCTCCCAAACTTCCTGCGTTGGGCACTCGTTTTGAATAGAACGCTGTGGTCGCATCCTCCTCGTCCTCCTCCTTCCCGCCTCCTCTCTTCTATTGCTTTCCTTCTCCTCCTCTCTTGCTCTTCTCTTCTCCCTAGCCGTTTACCTGGTTCGCCTTCGCTATCCATGGGGGGCTGCGATCTGCGAGATTGTCGCCGCTTTCGAGGGCTGCCGGTGGGTCCAGCGGAGTGAAGCACCACCCAGATTCAGATTAGACCTCGCCCTCCCTGGGGTGCTGCAATCTGCGAAGCTGTCGCCATTTTCGAAGGCTGCTGGTGGGTCCAGCGGAGTGAGGCACTACCCAAACTCAGAGTAGACCTCGCCATCCCGGGGGGGGGGCTGCGATTTGCGAGACACTCGCCACTTTCGCAGGCTGTTGGTAGGCCCAGCGGAGTGAAACACCACCCAGATTCAGATTCAACCTCGCCATTCCTGGGGGTGGTGTGATCTGCGAGACTGTCGCCGGTTTCGAAAGCTGCTGGTGGGTCCAGCGCATTGACACCACCCAAATTCAGATACAACCTCGCCATCTTTGGGGGGTGCGACCTGCGAGGCTGTCGCCATTTTTGAAGGCTGCTGGTGGGTCCAGCGGAGTGAGGCACGCAACACCCAGATTCAGATGACCTCGCCATCCCTGGGGTGGTGCGATCTGCGAAACTGTCGCCACTTTCGAGGGCTGCTGGTGGGTCCAGCGAAGTGAGGTACCAGTCTTCAGATTCGACCTCGCCATCCCTGGGGGGGCCGTGATCTGCGATCTTGTCGCCGCCTTCGAGGGTTGCCGGTGGGTCCAGCGGAGTGAGGCGCCACCCAAATTCAGATTAGACCTCGCCACCCCTGGGGGGCTGCGATCTGCAAGATCGTCGTCACTTTCGATGGCTGCCGGTGGGGCCAGCGGACTGAAACACCACCAAGATTCATATTAGACCTCGCCATCCATGGGGTGCTGCGATCTGCGAAAGTGTCGCCACTTTCGAAGGCTGCTGGTGGGTCCAGCGATCTGCGAGACTGTCGCCACTTTCGTGGGCTGCTGGTGGGTCCAGCGGACTGAGGCACCACCCAAACTCATGTTAGAGCTCTTAGAATGCAAGACGAGTCAAGGACATCGATGTTGGCATCGACGCTGCGGACGCGGCGGGCCTCGTCTTCATCGAACCACAGAGCTTGAACCCGTTCGACTTCCGCAAGTATAAGGTCACGCGCGCAGGGTTCGTCATCTCCCACGCCGAGGTCCTGACGTCCATTGCCTGCCAGGGCCGCACCATGCCCCGCGGAGTCATTTTTGACGAAGGGTGCAAGGACGCCGACGACCTGGACGCCCCCTAGCTGCACCTCTACGTGATGCTGTCCGGGGCGACGACGGTAGACAACCTACTGATGATACGCGACCCTGGCCTTGAGTTTCTTTCCCGCGGGCCGCCCGCAGACCTGGCGGCGCGCCTGCGGACGTTCAGTTCCCGCACTGAAAGGTGCGGGAAGGAGGCGGAGAAGCTGGCGGGCGAACTCGGTCTCGCTCGCTTCTTGCACTAACTATACACAGGTATGATTATGTGGAACGCTGTGGCGACATGGCGCAGACAGCGCTGCATGTTTAGGCAGCTCCTGAAAAACGCGGCACTCTTCTGATTCCTCCCGCCTCTTTCATCGTCTCCGAATTCCCCCTGTGGCCTTATTCATGCATTCTGCTTCTGCTACCGTGATGGCTCGCCGGCCCCCCGTCCGTCCGTCCTTCTCCTGTCACTCGTTCCCGCCCCCGGTCTTCTACAAGCCTTGGGCCCCAATCCTCGTCTTGTCGACCTTTGTTCTGTGAGTCGTGCAACGTGCGCGCGTCATGTATAGCTTACACAACAAATCGCGCGCCTGCACTGTCGATGTTCCTTCTAATGCTGGCATGCTCCTCTTACCACTGGATGCACATGGGTTAGGTACGTCGCAGGGTAAATATTGTCAGTCGTGGTACGAGATGGTTGTAATATTAGCAGTCGTAGTCATGGCGGTAGTCGCAACAGTCGTGATGATGGTGGTATTGACAATCGTAGTCGTATAAGAAGTAGTAGTAGTAGTAGTAGTAGTAGTAGTAGTAGTAGTAATAGTCGTAGTCGTAGTCGTAGTAGTAGTAGTAGTAGTAGTAGTCGTAGTAGTAGTAGTAGTAGTAGTAGTAGTAGTAGAAGCAGTGGTGGTGGTGATAGTAGTAGTAGTAGTAGTAGTAGTAGTAGTAGTAGTAGTAGTAGTAGTAGTATGAATAATCGTAGTAGTAGTAGTAGTTAGTAGTAGTAGTCGTAGTAGTAGTAGTGGTAGTAGTAGTAGTAGTAGTAGTAGTAGTAGTAGTAATAGTAGTGGTAATAGTAGTCGTAGTAGTAGTAGTAGTAGTAGTAGTAGTAGTAGTAGTAGTAGTAGTCGTAGTCGTAGTAGTAGCAGTAGTAGTAGTAGTAGTAGTAGTAGTAGTAGTAGTAGTAGTAGTAGTAGTAGTAGTAGTAGTAGTAGTAGTAGTAGTAGTAGTAGTAGTAGTAGTAGTAGTAGTCGTAGTAGTAGTCGTATGAGTAGTCGTCGTAGCACTCGTAGGCGTAGTACTAGTAGTAGTAGTAGTCGTTTTAATATTCGTAGTAGTAGTAATCGTAGTAGTAGTAGTAGTAGTAGTAGTAGTAGTAATCGTTGTAGTAGTAGTAGTAGTAGTAGTAGTAGTAGTAGTAGTAGTAGTAGTCGTAGGAGACGTCGTCGTCGTCGTAGTAGTAGTAATAGTCGTAGTCGTAGTGGCGAAGATGATAATACTGGTAGTAGTGGGCGTTCGTAGTAGTAGTAGTAGTAGTCGTAGTAGTAGTAGTAGTAGTAGTAGTAGTAGTAGTAGTAGTAGTGGTCGTAGTACTAGTAGGTGGGTAGGTAGGTACTGCTAGTAATAGTAGTCGTAGTAGTAGTAGTAGTAGTAGTAGTAGTAGTAGTGGTAGTAGTAGTGATAGTAGTAAACGTAAAAGTAGAAACCGTATAAATAATGGTACCAGTAGTAGTAGTAGTAGTAGTAGTCGTAGTAGTAGTAAGTCGTAGTAGTAGTCGTAGTAGTAGTAGTAGTAGTAGTAGTAGTAGTAGTCGTAGTAGTAGTAGTACTAATAGTAGTAGTAGTAGTAGTAGTAGTAGTAGTAGTAGTAGTAGTAGTCGTCGTCGTAAAAACCGTCGTCGTCGTGGTCGTCGTAGTCGTTGTCGTCGTCGGAGTAGTTGTCGTAGTTGTAGTAGTACTCGTGGTAGAAGGTAGGCAAGTAGTGATAGGAGTACTAAGAGTAGTAGTGGCAGTCGTAAGAGTAGTAGTAGTAGTCGTACTAGTAGTAGCAGCCGTGGTAGTAGTAGTCGTAGTAGCAGTAGTAATGATAGTAGTAGTTGTCGTCGTAGTAGTAGTAGTAGTAGCCGTTGTAGTATAATATATGATACTGGCGATTGTAGAAGTGGTATAGTAGTAGTATACTAGTAGTTGAAGGAGTCGTGATCGTAGTAGTAGTAGTAGTAGTAGTAGTAGTAGTAGTAGTCGTAGTAGTACTAACCATAGTAGTCGTAGTAGTAGTAGTAGTAGTACTACTACTAGTGGTAGTAGTAGTAGTAGTAGTAGTAGTAGTAGTAGTAGTGGTAGTACTAGTAGTACTAGTAGTAGTACTAGTGGTAGTGGAAGTCGTAGAAGTAATAGTCGTAGACGTAGTAGTAGTCATCGTGGTAGTAGTAGTCGTAATAGTAGTAGTAGTAGTAGTAGTAGTAGTCGCACTGTAGAGTTGTAGTAGTAGTAGGGGTCGCAGTAGTAGTGGAAGCGGTAGTAGTAGTGGTAGTAGTAGTAGTAGTAGTAGTAGTAGTAGAACTAGTAGTAGTAGTAGTAGTAGTAGTAGTAGTAGTACCAGTAGTAGTAGTAGTAGTAGTAGTAGTAGTAGTAGTAGTAGTAGTAGTAGTATTAGTAGTGGTGGTAGGAGTCGTAGTAGTAGTAGTAGTAGTAGTAGTCGTCGTGGTAGTGTTAGTAGCAACGGTGCTCGTAGAAGAACTGGTAGTAACAGTAGTAGTCGTAGGAGTAGTAGTAGTAGTAGTAGTAGTAGCAGTAGTAGTAGATGTAGGAGTAGTAGTGATAGTAGTAGAAGTAGTAGTAATAGAAGTAGTAGTGGTGTTAGTCGTCGTCGTAGTAGCAGACAAAGTAGTAGTAGTAGTAGCAGTAGTAGTAGTAGTAGTAGTAGTAGTAGAGGTAGTAGTAATCGAAGTGGTAGTTGTAATAATAGTAGTAGTAGTGGTAGTAGTAGTAGTAGTAGTAGTAGTAGTAGTAGTCGTGGTAGTAGGG